CGATTTAAAAACTTTTGGATCTGGTTTTCTGTTGAATATCCTGCTCTATACTACACATCATATACTCAGAACTACTTTCAAACTCTCACTAATAATTTAAACTCTCCAAATACTTGAACTCTTATTGCACATCTCTTTCTAAGTATCTGTTATTTCAAGGAACCTAAGTCTTATAATCAAGTCCGACAAGAAATATATACTGTTTTTACTCTAACAAATAGTTTTAATAACAACCCTTTTGACATAGCTTATAACATAAGTGAAACTGCTGACTCTCAAATAGCTGAATATCAAACTACATAATCAAATTCATCTGATAAGAAAAAAAATTTTGGTCTAGAGTTATTCTTTAAACAACCAGAACTACAACAATTACTCCCTAATTAACTACAACAAGTAAACATGACTCAACCTAATCAACAAAACTTTTAGAAACTTACTGATACTCTTACCCAATTGATTGCTACTTTGCCTAATACTACTACTGCCTTGATTAACAATACTAATGCTATCAATAATCCTTCTAGAAGAGAAGCTCAAATGATAGATTTGCTCTACTTTTATAGTAGAAATCAGAACCTTATAACTTGGTTTACTGAATTTAACAAAGCTTGCAATGCTAACAGAATTACTGATGACAATAAGCTTCAAGTTGCACTTGCATATCTTAAAGGAGCTGCTACTACTTAGTAAACTGAAAACCAAGTTTTGGTCAACACTAGTCCTAATAGAATCTGACAATAGGATGATAGTAACCCTGCTCATAATACTAACTTTGTCATTAACTTTCCTGCTACCTTTCATTCTCAAACCCTAGTTGAAATCTGGACTACTGAACTTGAATATCACCAACAATATTCTGGTGAATCTGTTATGACTATACTGCTGCTCTCTTAGAATTATATAGAAGAGTAGAGTATAGACCTTTCCAATTCTCTGCTCATTTCAAAGCCTGTAAATTTGTGAATGAACTCTTATCTGAATTATATATGAATATTAAACCCCATAATGATGCTATCTGGAATAATACAGTCAACTATGCTAAAAATTATGAACTAACATATCAGGACACTAATGCTATAACCTCTTATCTCAATAAATATATAGCATCTGTTCAATCAAACAACCAAATGAATCAACTTGCCCAAAGTCTACAGGTCTTAACCCAATAGTTACAATAAATAAATACTGAACTTCACTGTAATCCTAGGAATAATAAATAGTTATTGAGTATGAAATACCTAATAACTATAGTATTTGGCATAGTAATACTGATTAGATAGTGATCAGTTGATCACTATCTAATTAGTATCAAATGACAAATATGAAAATATATTTGGTCTATAAATCTAATATGCTAGCCTTTTGAGCTCCAAAAGGGCCCAGTAGGCTAGCATATTAGATTTTCAGGCCAAATACAAAAGTTATTAGGAGTAAAGTACACAATAACAGATTTATTCAGTATTTTATGATGATCAGATATTACTATATATTTTTATTAATTAAAGTGATTATTAATATTATAAATTAAAAATATCAATAAAAAAATGATTATTGCAGTGATCAAATATATTGTAGTTAAATTTAGTATAAATATTAAAAGTGAATTAGATTTGATTTAAAATTTTCTTTCACTTTCTCTTTTTTAAGATGTCTAACATTACTAAAAAGAAAACATATTATAAACAAACTGATGAAGAAATTAATAAAATAGTTACTAGTACTATTCCAGAAAATATACAAAAGGCTACTATTAAATAGGTTCAAATTCTAAATAATTGGCATAATGAAGTTGGATATGAATATGGAATTGAGTCTATTACTAATAAGGAATAACTCGAAAAGAAAATAACAGAGTTCATCATTAGAATTCATCAAATCAAAACACAAGAAGAATATGCACTATTATCTTTAATTAATTGCATTAATTTATTAAGTGTATATCTTTTGCGACATCCTGATGGAACTAAAACATTAAATCTTGTGAATAAACAGGATTTTAGAAATCTATAGGAAGCTTTAAATAGAAAAATGAAAATGTTAAAAAAAATTAGAAAAGTTTCTCATCACCATGATAACCTAACGGATAAAGAATTATATCAAATATTCTATTATGATGCTACTTCTATTAATTCATCCCAGGGATTATAATATCGTATTTTTATATAGTATTGCTTATTATTTCAACTACGAGATAGTGAACATTATAAACTATTGGTATCTCAATTTATATTTATAGATAACAGAGATCTTCAATTTATAAAATATTCTCAAAAAAATGATTAGAGTAGTATTAATAGGAATTTAGATTCTCTCATAATTACTGTACTACCAGATTCAGATAGTTATCACGGGTTAGTTTATGATATAAAATTTTTTTTTTTAAAAGATCTAAGAATTCTAAATACAAATATTTACACTTACAAATTAATAAAAAAAAAAGTAATTTTTATTGCTTTTATTTTTTATTATTATTGTTTATTATTAACTTTTTTTTTATACATATACTAGATTTTGATGAATAGTATACTGATTCTAGACTTGGTGAAAAGACTTGTCATTTATTGATGAAAAACATTTGTATATCAGTTAGTATTGAATTAGAAAATCAAGATATTATAAATCATTCAGGTTGTTTAACATCAATTACTACACTTTTCTGACAAGGAGTTTCTCTTATTATAACAATATCTATTATGGGTCATAAAAGTGAATCTTCTTATAGAATTTATGTCTATCTATCAGCTTAACAAAAGGAGGATGTATTGTCTCAACTGATTAGAAGTGTGAGAACATTACCTTTATCAAATATATCAAATAATCAGATTTCAAATGATTAAGTTGACAAGTTTTTATTACTATTTTTTTTTTTTTTTTTTTTTTTTTTTTTACAACTGTTATTTATAATAATAAGTTTTATTAGACCCAGAAAATATGTCAATTAATAATGTATCTACTGAAAGTGCTCATTACTCTCTAGTGATTTATGAATCCAAAGATGCATTTTCTGTAACTAAAAATATACTTTCTGTAACTAAAGATATACATCCTATAGCTAAAGATATATCATCTTCTAGAATTAAACCTTTTTGTCTATCTCTTTTAACAAAAAAACTTCTATTATATATCAATGTGTCTAAATCTAAGCCTACTCTTGGTGGTCACCAATTTCTTTATATTAATAACAAACCAATTCAAGAATCCAAAGGTATTATTAATTAATAAATTATATTCTAATATTATAAATTTTATTAATTTATTATTTATTCGTAACATATTTTTAAGATCAAGAACTCAAAGAAAATAAAGATACTAACATGGCTGTAAAATACTATTATATAAATGCTGAATATATTACTATTAATTAAATAATATATCATGTAATTAAGATTTTTTTAGCTATATAGTAATATGCATAATTTCAAATATTATATAAGCTAAATTTAAATTTGCTTTATTGTTTTAAAAAATTAAAAAGTTACTTTTACTTTATTAATTTTAGTTCAATTCTATAACAATAAAAAATTACTTTCACGCTATCAATTTTTTGCCTAACTTAATGATAAAAAAACTATCTTCACTCTAATAGTTTTCAGACTAATCTATGACAATTATAAAAAAGTTATCTTCGCTCTAATAGTTTCTAGTTCAGTCTATAACAATTATAAAAAAGTTACTTTCGCTCTAGCAGTTTCCAGCCTAGTTTATAACAATTATAAAAAAGTTATCTTCATTTTAATAGTTTCTAGCTCAGCCTATAGTAATTATAAAAAAGTTACTTTTACTTAATTATTTTCGGCTTGATCTATAAGAAACTTAACACTAATAATACTTTACTATACTCAAATAAAAAGGAGCCAAACTGCCTAATAATAGAAATAGACTATTATAAGCTATAGATCATTAATAATCACTGCTAAATAATAAATTTATTTGGCAGTCTGATCATAGTAAAATGCTAGATAATAATAATTATCAACAACCTCAAGCTAATTAACCTCAACCTTACTAACCTGAACCTCGACCTCAAAGGCCAAATAATTTTGTTTGCTATCAATGTAGACAACTAGGACATACTCATAGAACCTGTTCTTAAGTTCAAAATATAAACTATCAAAATATTATACCTTCTGTTGCTAACTCTGTAAACCCTGTGAATCCTATAAATTCTATACTGAATAATCAGCAATCTGCTCAACCTGAACAAGCTCCACAAGTCAACTAACTCTTACAACTTCTTATCCAACTTGTACCTAATAATCCTGTACAATAATTTTAACTTCAACCTATAATTCAACCTCAGACACAAGCACTGCTTATTAATTAATAACAACAACAAGTCCAACTTCACTATTTAATATAGCAAACCCAAATACAACCTCAAGTTTAACTACAGCAATAAGCTCAACAACAACAATAACAGCTACAATATTTAAACTAGGAGGCATACCTCATGAGAGTGAGTGTATAGCCCAACCTACAATTCCCTCTAATATAATAACTCTGGAAACATACTCTGCAAAAAAGCAACGAGTTGAACAAGGTGAAAAAATTGATAATCCAAATAAAAAGGAAATAACCAAGGACGTTAAACAAAAAGGAAAAGTAGTAAAAAGAAAACTAGTAGCTATGCTATTCGTAAACCAAATAATTATACTCTATATTCCTTAACAATTCTTTGACCAACCTGCAAATATAACAAATAGATAATTATTAGCAATAAATCCTAAATTTAGTAGAGCTATAACTGAAAAGCTTAGGAAGCTCATAACTAAAAAAGTACTTGCAACTGAAAGTACTGATAAAAAGAATACTAAGAATTTTTCTAATAATACAAATAATGAAAAAATATCTGAATAGCCAATTGTCTCAACTCTCAATAATGGTGACCTTGAGTTTATGAAACATGATAATGGACAATCTAGTAAAAGTTTAATTGATACAAATCTAAACAAAGCAATAGAGGAAAAGTCTACTTCTTTATATTGTGATACCACTATTAAACATATTAAATTCCTTCTTATTGTTGACTCTAGATCAGCTGGAAGTATAATATCTCTAAACTTACTAAAGGACCTGGATATAGAAATAATCTAAGCCTCTAGAACAGTAATGATTAATATAAATAGTGAACATTGTCAACCTCTAGGAGCAGTCTCTGATATTCTTTTAGAAATAGGTAGTCAAATAATTCTCTTTGATACTATAATTACTGAGTCTAATTCTTATAATGCTATTATAGGAAATGACTAGTTAAGAAAAACAAAGGCAAATATAAATTACAAAGATAATACTATGACTATCTACTGGAATAACAAAGTAATCACTGTTAAAATCAAATTACAACAACTCTCTCACTATGAAGTTAGCATTAAAGTCTCTGAAATGCAAAAGGATAAACCAATAGTAGAGACTAAAATAGTAGAATCAGATGATAAGGAAGAATATAAAGAGAATTTTGATTTTAGTAAAAGTCTATTTTGCTATGCTGAGAAGGAAGCTATAAAAATCGAACAGGAAATCTATAAACAAGTCTATACTGAATTCAATACTAAGCTATATTATAACGAACCTAAGCTAAAGTCTAAGGATAAACCAAAGAAACCAGATAAAGAAAAATATAATATAGGTGAATTGGAACTCTAAAATAAACAAATATTTTTAGAATTTATAAAAGGATATAATGATCTATTTGTTTGGAAACCTTATAAATTTGGAAGAACTAAAGCTATAACTCATACTATCTCTACAGATGCAACTTTTATTAAACAAAACTTCTACCTTATCTTATATAAAAATCAGCAATGCATTAAGGAGGAAATCCAAAAAATGCTTAAGCCTAATTTAATTGTACCTAGCAAAAGCCCTTGAACCTTTCTAGTTGTAATAGTTAATAAAAAAAATAGAAAACAACAATTCTGTGTAGACTACCATAAATTGAATACTGCAACTAAAAAGGATAATTACTCTCTCCCTCAAATTGATGATTTACTGGAAGCTCTAGTATACTCTAAATAGTTTACTAGTTTAGATATAGCTAGTAGATATTGGCAAATACCTATAGAACTCCAAGATCAGGAAAAAACTACCTTTATAACTCAGTTTGGTACTTATGAATTTATAGTCATATCTTTCAGGTTATGTAATACACTAACAACATTTTAAAGGTTAATGAATACAGTCTTAAGGGACTTGCTCTGGAACTTTGTAGTAGTTTACTTAAATGATATTAACATTGGGTCAAAAACATTTGAACAACACTTAGAACACTTTAAACAAGTGTTTGAATATCTCAAAGAAGCTGGTTTAAAGTTAAACCCTGAAAAGTGTTTCTTCTTTAAGCAAAAGCTACCTTTTCTTGGTTATATAATTAGTGAAAAAGGTATTGAAACTGACTCTTCTAAAATACAGGCTATACAAAACTATCCTATCTCTCAAAACACTACTTAACTTCAAAAATTCTTAGGCCTTGCATTCTACTACTATAAATTTATAAAAAGCTTCTCTAAAATAGCTGAACTTTTAAATAGATTACTCAAAAAGAAAATAGATTATGTTTAGACTATTGACTAACAAAATGCTTTTCAAAAATTAAAGGATTGCTTAACAACTTCATCCATACTCACCTACTTTAATTTTGAGGAACCATTCTTGATCTATACTGATGCATCAACTATTGCTTTAGGAGCAATACTCTCACAAAAAGATAATAATAAAGAATATATAATAGCCTATACTAGTCGAACTCTAAACCCTCATGAGAAAAATTATTCAATTACTAAACTAGAATGCCTAGCAGTAATTTGGTCTATTAAACACTTTTATCATTACTTGCATGAACAAAAATTTACTATTATCACTGATCATTCTGTATTAACTCATCTCAAAAATATAGCTAACCCTACTAAATACCTTAGACATTAGATAATAGCTTTAAATGGATATAATTTTAATATAATCAATCAACCTAAATATGTATATTCAAATATAGATCCACTAAGTAGAATACAACTTTAGGAAACAATACACCTCTAATTATTAACTAGATATTACCTAGCAAATACTACTAACAGATAATTATATTGATAACAACAGACTATGGATTTAAATATATATTATATATTAAAACAAAGTGGTTCCAAGCTCTAGAGAATAAAATTCTAGCAAATAAAAGTTCAAGAGAAGTAACTGAAGAATATCAGAAAAGAGAAGGATTTCAAGTACAAGAAATTGAAAAGAGAATCTCACAAACAAGAGGAAAAAAGAATAGGTACTTATAAGAGATAAAGAAAATGAGAAAAATAAAATTAGTCATATTATCAGAAAAGAAAAGAAAATGATAGAAGTAGAGATATGGGAAAAAGATCAAGAAAACTCACGTAAAGAACTTTGTCAACAAGAAGCATACAACGAAAGAATCAAATTTAAAAAAAATAGCCAAAGACAAAGGATCACATTACAAGAAGTTTGCAATATCTTAAGCTTGATATGGAAGAAAGATAATGCATCAGAGGTAGTATTCAACAAAAAGTATCTGAAAAAGATAGAGAAAGAGAATCAAAAAAGCAAAGTAAGAGACTTTAAAAAGTTTAAGAATCTAGAGTATATAGAAGTAAAAAATAGCTGAGAAGCAGAGCTAATTAACTAAGTCATTCAAAATACAAGAATTAGAGAAGAACTAAAGGCTAGACTAGAGACGAATAGAGAAATAGAGGAAATAGTATTCTATACAGATGGTTTACTCAGGGAAGAAGATACTAGGGAAAAAATAAAGATGGGATTTAGTATAGTCCAAATAGATAGTACAAATAATATAGTTTTTAGTTATAAAGAAAGGATAGAAAATTGGTTTTCATCTACTCGAGTGGAGCTAGTAGCTTGTCTAGTAGTAGTTTTGTTAGTCCTTAATAGTTGCAAAGTCAAAATAAGGACAGATAGCATGTATGCAATTTTTGCGATAGAGAACTGCTTAAAGAATGAGAAAACATATGAGTGGTTAAAGTCAAAGAACAATAATATTCTGCGTGCAATTAAGAAAGTCTGCAAAAACAAATCAGTCTAGTTAATATTCACAAAAGTTAAAAGCCATTCAGGAGATACTTATAACAATGCTGCAAATATATTAGCAAAAGAAGAAATATACGAAACATATAGTATAAAACTGAGCAATATCAGTAACAATAATATAAGGTATATTTCTGAATGGAAAAAAATAAGTTTGGAAACTTCAATAAGAGCCTTCATTAAAAAAGTAGTTCAAATGATATACAAAGCAAAATGGATATAGTTAAGAAAGAAAAATGACGAGAAACACTAAACAAGAATTTAAAAACAGAATTAGAAAGCTTTTAAGAGTATACTTAAAAGC